GGTTTTTTTCCCTTTCCATTTTTTACTGTGATAATAAAGGCAATGTGCAGAGAGGTGACAGTGACATCACTCAGGTCACGAGCACATTTTTCTGTGGACCTTGTCCCTCCTTCCCTCGCTCTCTCCCCCAACGTTTCCCTCCCGTCCCCACTCATGAGTGGTAGAGTTCATTCTCCACATGGTGTCCAGTGAGGACCACGGCTGCCTTGGTTTCCCCCTCTGTCCCCCCATTTCTGTGTCCCCCTCACCCTCCTAGAGACAGAGAAACCCACTCACGAGACAAAAAGAAATAGAAACCACATGGAAGACCCCTTGCTTGGGTCCATTTCCTGGAGTCCATGTCTATATTATTTTCTATAATCAGAGGCACATAGGCCTAGTGGTGCCTTTGTGTTCCTCCCCAAACAGCGTCCCCCTTGGGTCTGGCTGTGTGTGGAAGTCTAGAGTCCCGGGTCATCCATCCTGTCCCTATGTATTTTAGATCTAGCTTCTGCACAGGAGAGAAAACATGGTGCCATGATCTTAATGGCTGGGAAATCTGCTCTTGTTCAGAAAATTGGGGAAGACGGATGGAGACAGTTTTATTTATTTATTTATTGACTACTGCCTTGTGAAATTACTCCAGAGCCAGATTGAATCCAGGCTTTACCATTTATTACCATGACCCAGAGCAAATCACCTTGGGCTCTTTAGACCTCATTTCAAGTAGTTGGAACTGTAAGTTTCTATTGCTGAGTGTGAGTGTGTGTGTGTGTGTGTGTGTGTGTGTGTGTGTTGGTCCTGGGGCTTGAACTCAAGGAAGGCCCCAAGGATGCTGTCCCTAAGGCTTTTCTTTCAAGGCTGGTGCTCTACCACTTGAGCCACAGCTCCACTTCAGGCTTTGGCTGGTCAGTGGGAGACAAGGGTGCACAAGGGTGGACATGCACCCTGCTACCCCAGCAGACGTGCTTCTTGAAGGCAAGAGCTGATTTTTCATGACACCCTCCCTAGGACCTAAGGGGCCCAGGAAAACAACAGAAAACTTGTTTTCTTTCAGACTGATTTTGCAGGTTAAGTTGGTCACATCACACACACACATCCTGCTGCATGCCTGAATAAAAAGCAGCGATTCTAGAAGGCTCTGCAGACGCGGGATCAAACCCCGCCGCTTCCACTGCATCCCCCGCGCCCAACAAAGGGAGACCCAGGCACAGGGGTCAGGTACACGCGCTGGAGGGGGCGGGGCCCGCCAGTGGGCGGGGCGTGGAGAGGGGAGGCTTGCGATTGGGCGGGGCGTGAAGAAGGCCCGCCCGTGGGTGGGGCGCGAGGGGGAGGGGACTTGCCGATTGGGCGGGGCGTGAAAGAGGGGATTGGCCTGCCTTGGGCGGGGTGTGGAGAAGGAGGCTTGGCGATTGGGCGGATCGTGAAAGGGACCTGCCAATGGGAGGAACGCGAAAGGGAAGGGGACCTGCCATTGGGAGGTACGTGAAGAGAGGGACGTAGCATGGAGGGGGGGGTGTCGGAGGAGGTGGAGTGCGAGCATGTGGGCGGGGCGTAGAGAGGCTATGGCGAATGGACGCGGGAAGGGCCTGCCAGTGGGTGGGGAGTGGACAGATTGAGAGTGGGCGGGGCGTAGGGAGAGGTCTGCGCGGGTGGGGCGTACGGGTGGTGGCCGGACGCGCGGGGGTGTGGGAGGAGTTTGGTTGTGGGCGTGGCCTACGCGCGGGCAGGGTCGTGTGAGGCCTGTGGTGGCGTTCTCGGGGGCGTGGCCCCGGGTGGGG